CCCTGGCACCTCCTGCCTGCGCTAAAACACCACCTCCAGCCCGCAGCCCAGACAGCATCATCCCGGCTCCTCGCCTTGCAGAAGCCTGGGCACTTGCGTAGCGTCGCCCATTGCCACGGCAGAGGAGTAAAACACAAGCATCCTGCCGGTCTTACTACGGGCAGGAAGAAACACGCTTTATAAGTAAAGACAAGTTCATTGTTAGTATACTTGAAATCTTAACTGTGTGATCAAAGAATGTTTAGTCTCTATTTATTACAGAAAAAGAAAAAACAAAGAATGCTATTACAGACAAACCTTTCAATAACAAAGCAGTTAAAATGATCATGAGCTGTTTATCTTCCTGGGGTCTCCAATATCCTGTGCCCCTTCTCTAACCGTCCCATGCCCATGGTACTCTACACCACATCCCATGCCCCAGCTTTCAAGGCCCCTGCTTCTATCAGGCTTGTATTCCTCTGCAACGTGATGCTAGAATCATAAATACGTTGCTCTACACAGATAAATTGCTCGTCACTAGTATCTGTATAAAAAATACGGTTCTACCATACAACTACAAAAGGAGAAACCAAGGTAAAACAAACAAGGCAATAGCCACCCGGTCACGAGAAAACCTGTAACAGCCAAAGAAGCTAAAAGAAAGCTCCAGGCAGGCGAAGAGAAGTTCAGACAACGCAAGCCCGGCAAGTCCTGAGACCCCGCAGAGCTGGAACAAAGCTTGTGGCCTGCTACTGGCTGTGGCAATACTGTATTTATTGAGCTGCCAGCAGAGATTGGCACTCAGGGACTACTTGGGGGAGATCCAAGTTTTTGAAAGAGCAGTTGTTGAGGACAGCTACATAGTCGCATACTTACTTAGTATCTAGTCCTGGCAAATCTGAAAGACGGATGGAATGGACTGAGCTTTTCTTCCTACATTTTCAAACCATCCCAGTTGACATAACTCAGCCTGATTTGACTTTGGTTTTGCAAATATCAATCATTCTTGTCATCTGCAGTCTGATAAATGATAACCTGCCTGAGGACTAGACATTTGTGTAGGATTCAGAGCCTAACTGCAGGACTCAGCGCTTGCCTCTCGGGCAGTATTGTACTCCGTTTTGTACTAAAACGTAATTACCAGAATACGGAGCAGCTCTGGCAAAATCCATCGGCTCTCTCACAGCTACTGCTCGTTCTGCAGACAACTATACTTACAGTTTCAGCGAAGAATACCTACAATGTACGGAGGGAATATGAGGACGTACGACACTGCAGATTGCAATATACCCTGAAAAGTTATGTTTACTTAAGTACCCCCATGGGACAGTTTAAGATAAACCATATGTGCGTTATATAATAAAACTGTGAAAGACAAAAACTCCTTAAAATGACACATGCTTTAGCTTAAGAATTGTGCACTCTGCGTTTCGGTACTGCCACTCAACCACGTTGAAGTTTTTGGCCACTTTTCATTGTACAGGTCCCAACCACACCGCAGTCTTCAGGCAACATGCATCATAGAATAGAACGGTTCGATAATAAATGCAATAAACCTAATTGTCTGCGTTCTAAAGTAAAATATTGTTGAGGAGAAATAACAGGAAAAGAAGAAATGCTGAACAATGCCACTGTGCTCACATAGCAACAAGGTGAACCTTTATAAAGAGATGGAAAAAAATTATAAAACACTGTGATTTGAACAGTTCCAGTGCTTTGGCTCATTCACAGTTGGAGTTGTTGCTTTGTATTAACCTTCAGTCTTAGCATGTTTTCTAGGAACATTTTTCTACAAACATGTGACAACCTTTCTCTTAAAAATTTATTTTCAACCACATTTTAAGATTCTCCATTCATTTTACCAGCTTTATCTTCTTTACAGCTGTTAACTGCTCTTGGAAAGCACAGGCATCCCATTTAAGCTATAAATCCATTGAAATAAAGCTTGTACCAGAAGTGCCGACAGGCTTCCGATTTGCAGAGCTACAATTAAAGAATAATTCTGAGCTGAACGCTTTTGTTGTAGGTTTTGTTCATGACTAGACACTCCAAATGTTAACTGCTTCCACGGATGAAGGCAGAACGTTTAAAGTTTGGGTTAATGTTTATGTATGCAACAATGTAACGATTACAAGGTGTTCCCTTAAAAAAAAAAAAATTAAGACCCTTGGGGTCTAGAAGCGCACAGTATCAACTCTGCCTCTTATACACGGCTCTGATTTTCAAAAGGAAGAACAAATTAGGTTAAGCGTATTAGGCCAGAAGCACATTAGGTTAGTTTTTTCCCAAGCATTAAATTCAGCAGTAATATCGCAGTATCGATATTTATCAAAGTTTAAAACACGTTTCAGAGAACAAGGTTTGTAGACTAGAAATATTTCATAGATGGTTGTAAGGCAACAGCTCTGCCTCCAGCCAGCTTTGAATGACTTTTGTTGCAATGCAGCTTTTATTAATATTTAACAAGGAACTAATTTTTCAAATACTTGTTTCCGGCAGGTAACAAAAATATTTTTATTCAAGAGGATGCTTCCTTCTCACACAGAAGCACAGCGGCTGCGAAAAAACCTGCACACTTTCTGGACGGCTGGAATCAGTCATCGTATGGGTTGATCAACTAAGCTAAAGACAAACACATTGACGCACTTCACGTACCTCCGGATTACAGGTACCTGCTCCTACAGCCCCTTTCCTTTTAGGCTCACAGGACTGCCTACAAATGCGTAGTTGACGGTGGTTGCGTACGGTAGTTCTTCATTCCTGTTCATGCCAACGTTGCATCAGGAAAAGAAAACTTGCAGAAGCTGAACAGAAAAACAATGAGTTTGTGAACACGGGTTGAAATCTGTGCTGCCTACGGAGAAGTCTTAAGGACCGTACCCTCTGCCCGCCCATCCCCCTTACTGCTGACATCCTATCTCCCAAACACCTAGCCTGCATTTTGCAGACAAACTCAAGAGAAACTGCATTTCTTGACTAACAATCATTTGGCACAGTAACTGTGGATTAGTTTATAACGTCTGTGACAGTATCTTGGTTATCTTTGGTTAAAATACCTACCCAAACTTTGAGAAAACACAAAGTTTTTCTTACCACAGAAAATTTCAGGCCCCAAGAAGTGAATCCTTTTTCTCTCCGTTGTGGGAACGCCAGAGGTTTGACAGGTGTCTTCTTCCTTTTCCCAAGAAACCAAGAAAACGGGAAAAAAGCAGCAGAGCTAGAATATCTCCAGCATTCTTAGGAACAGCCCGAACATTGTATTTGGAATTATGCCGGTTCCAGTAAGTTTGCGATAGCTCAAAATTCTTGGACAGAACAATTTCCGTGGATGAGGCAGGGCCCCACCTGAGTAGCCACCCTTACTCAAACTGCTGCGGAACTCACGTATCTTGACTGGGCTGTTGCGCTAGAAAGCAACAGGCAAAGAAAGGAACCAAGGGGTGGGGAAAAACCCTTTGCCACACAGTTTCCCTCATATATAGACCGACCTGTGGAAAATGCCCACTTACGTTTTATTTCAACAACCGTCTTGCAAATCCAAAGGGAAGTTCTCTCCCGTAACAAAAGAATTAAAAAACAAAACCCCAAACGCAACCAGCATGTAATAAGAATTTTATTGAATACATCTGGAAAAAAAATGGAGCATGAAGATATGAGATTAATTTCTGCGTATAAGTTTTGTGAATGTGCAGAACTGAACAACCATGCAAAAAGACATCTCCCCCCTTCAACTGTAATTCAAGACTCTTACAATGGCAAAATTATTACCGCCTTAAAACAGTGTTCCAGACACGTAACTCATGACTTTAAAAAGGGTCTCGTTCCTGAACGGAGATAAAAAGAAT